AAGGCTTTGGCGGTGTCGTTCTAAGCACATTTGGTTAAAAAAACTTTTTTAAAGGAGCATTAGCTATGAATTCATGTTCAGCGATTTCACTTAAATTTTCCAATTTTTTTTTGTATACTTAATGATTTATTTTAATACAAGATGTTCATTTAAGGTTGCGTGAATACGGATTCAAATGAATTGAAATATTGAAATGTAGGCAATTAATATATTTGCGAAGTTTTTTTTCTAAATTCTGACATGAAAATTGAAATCATTTTACAACTAATAGCGAACTATTGTTTCAATATTCCCCTCAGATAAATGTTTGAAAAAAACAAAAATATCATAATTTCACCATGTTATATAATTTTTGTTAAGTATTTAATATTGAATGTTCATGTATATTATTAACAAATGTGAATAGATACTATTTACCAATGTGAACAAGACAGGAATAAATTAACCGTACTTGATGTTTCTTCAACTCACAAATTAGCAGATTTCTAACAAATATGAACAATATGCATAAATATGAGAACAAATGTTTCATCAATTAAACAATCATTTTCTACTATTTTATGCACTCGAATTGATATTTAATGGCCATATTATTAACTTACTATTTGAAAGAATTGTCAATCACTCCATTTTAACATATTTAATAAATGATGATATGTCATATCAACAATATACCGAATAACCCTAGAAGGTTAGATTAGGGCAAATAACACAGCTTCGCACGAACTGATAAAGACGTATCATGTACATGTAATTGTATTGAGTAATTAAACAGTATCTATTGACAGAAAAACAAATCTCAATTCACAATGTCAATTGTCGAAAACTGCAAATAGTGATACCATTTCTGCTAAGCATAGACTAATTGCAATAATTATAAGTTAAAACAAATAACATCAAATGAATAGAAAATAAAACTGTCATATTCCTGGCTTGATACAAGCATTTTCTTATGTAGAAAATTGTGTATTAACCCTGGTTTTATAGCTGGCTAAACCTCTCACTTGTCGCACAAAATTATTTTATATTTACAATAATGTGTAAACAAGAAAAACAGACATAATAGGTAAAAACGTCAAAATAGGGGTACAACAGTCAACATTGGGATTTAATGTCAATCACTCTAAAACAAACAAATATGTAAACAAAGAAAAAGGAAATAGCAAAAAGACAGAGCACACAAGCGTTCTATGAAAGACTTCAACAAAATGACCATAGCACAATAACACAATAGCGGGATTCATAAGAACCGAGCCACGCCAAAAGGATATTACAAAAAATAGACTACACAGTAAAGGTTAATAATTTACAAATATAAATAAAAGAACAAATACTTAACATATTTGAAATCATAAACGACAACATATTTATCCAGTTTTAACAAGAAATTCGTGTTTCAATGAATACTTCTTGTTCTAATGGGCATTGTAATTTCATATTAATGTAAAGCAGAATTAAACACAAAATCTTCTTAAAGATAAATAGAGAAAACTTCTGAATTGTGATTTCTTAAATTTATTCCGAATACTTCGAAACCGTCAGCTACATGTATATATATTCGGCATAAAACCATGTATTGTTGATGACCTCTTTATGATTTTGTAGGTTTTTTTTTTATCTGTCAGATTGACATTACCGAACATTTATTAATATATTAACCCCTAACAATTGGGTTTTTCATTTTTAACTGTAAACAATATAGCGTAAACATGATATTCTTGCATGAACGTGAATAGAAGTAGCGTTATTCGTCGGTTAACATTTTTAAAATGCATAGGTTGGCTATAACCGTTCACATTATGTACGTACCTCGAGTAACGTACGTATGTCATTTAATTGGAAATATCTTCTATACGCATGATACGGAACTGTATGTACCGATTATCAGCTAGGTTGTTTGAATACTTATATCGCCAAATATCAGCGGCGAGTATACGAACCAATATAAAGGGTATTGTCGAGTGAGCACAGCGAACGAATTTAAAAAAGCTTTAGATTGTGTCGAGCAGCTGATATTTACAATATAAATATGCACAAAACTAGATAATTAATTTACCAGTATCAGGCTTTATTTCCTTAGTTTGCATGATAGAAACCATTGTTTTGTTTGTTTCACTAGCACAACGGAAAATGTTTTGAAAAGTTCGGGTCAACATCGGTTCATAATTATTACATCGCTGATATGTCCGGGTCGAAGTTACAAAGGCCAGATTAACGTATTTGAAATCCAAATGCGTCATATGCAATTTTATTAAAAGCTGAGCAGAGTGATATAGAAATAGAGACGACCGATAAGGGGTTTTCGGAATGTTAAATGTTCTTTCTAGTAACGGTTGATTGAGTTTCAACCTATGTCTTCAAATCAATCGAATAATGATCCAGCTGGCATGGTATGTTAGACATCCAAGCTGTCTCGTTAGATGGTCGAAGAGGAAATGATATATGTCATGTCCAATACCCAAACCTTTATCATCATTTTCAGTGAAAAAAAACAACATGTACATTGGACCTATTCGTTTAAATGAAAAAATCGGAAACATGCCTGGCACATTTATACACATATTCTTGCCTTTTTATCTAAATTTGGGTTTTTGATGTCAAATTACAATAACCGGTAAAAATGCTTTTGTGAGACCTCGAACTTGAGAGAATTATCCGGTTTCCCTCATTTAATTATTGCTAACCAATAAAAATCACCAAAGAAATAATTGTGCTTTGATACTGTCTGTAATCAAAGGGAGACAATTCAATCTCAATCTCAATGTGTTTCAATCACAGGAAAGATAAATCTTTTTATATGAGGAGGTATCTCATTAACTATATTCTATTTTTTAAAACATCTTCTAGTTATTTTTCTTGCGTACCCTTGTTTTATAATAAGTTCCTCACTTTGGGACCGCAAAGTAAACTTTATAAAAATCCTTAATTTTGATTTGCTATGTTAACTTTGTGGATGTTTTTTAAAGATTCATTATAGAGTAATAAGGGGGCCATCAAATAAATAGGTAAGAATGACAATTAGTGACATTGAAACATTCAAAATTCAATTGAGTGAATGAAAGTCTGATTCTTTTTCAATTTATGCTATAGAAGATTTTAAAAGTGACTATGAATTTATTGCAAGAATATTATTCAAAGAGTATATTTTTATTATCTTGACATTAAATTTTGTGACGAGATAGTTTGTATTGTTCTTGTGTGCGTTGAGGACATATATATAGTTGACAGTAAAAAATACGCATGCGAGTTTAAAACGAGTTGTGTTAAAAAAAATGGCCATTATCAAAGCAAAAGTTCTGACTCGTAAATTTTGCATATAGGAAACAAATCAGCCCATGGTAGTATAATATGATTTGTGACCAAATGATGGGTTGTTAATGGGTGCGAGTCATTGTGACACTGATAAAGGGGTGGACAGAATAATTGGAACTCTGGAATGAGAGGGCTGGAAGTGGGAATTGGGTGGATGGAAGCTGGAGTCAGGGTGGTGTTAACCGTGAGGAAAGGGTTGTTAAAACAGGGATAATTCATGCTTGACGAAATAGGAGTGCAGAGGAACAGAATACGGAGTGAAGTAAGAGTTTGGGGAGGAAACTGGGAATCAATGCACCCTTTCCACCCCTCTTTGATAGCAATAAAAGAAAAGGGGACGGGGTCATGTATGTAGCAGGAGCAATTTTGCAGATTTGGGGACCACAGCTTGTTCTAGTTTGTGTGAACTGACATTTAATGAGACGATGGATGCCTAATGTAAAAGCGCTATCTTATTAAAAAAAAAAACAAAAAAAAAACAGTGAAAACAATAAATAACTTATTCAATGTGTACAACTTTTATCGTGTAGACCAGAAGTAATGAAATAGAGCATTGAATGATTCCAACTATTATTTTGTTTAAGAAGCATTAAGCTCAATGTCAACATTTCATGTTTGGACTGCACTTTAGTCTAACTTTGTATCAATTCAATGACAATTCCATATGTTAAATCCAAACCAATTATATAAAATTATTAAGTCTTATAAATGATTTGCATAGATGAAAATACTAAACTTTAGAACATAAATAAATGTCTTTAACAAATGAATTTAAAATAGCAATATCTATTTAATTTAACAAATATGTACTGAATAAGCATCATGTAATCGTTAAATAAAGAAACAAGAAATTTATATTTTTAAACAAGGTATTCTGTTACGCCTTTCCACAATTTATATAGTTCGTTTGATTATATTCCTAATCTGTTTATGTGTTCCAGTTTAGGAGGATTATTCATCTTTAACCTTATAAGAGCTTGTTAGAACTTTAAACATCGTATCATCGTTACCTTTCCCTTTCTTACACGTATCTCGAACTGAATATTGCAAGGTCATTCCAGAACTGGAGAAGTACAAACGTCATCTAGGACACAATTCGTGGCTAACCACAGAGTGAGTTACATTTATAACTTTGTATTTGATGCCTTCAAATGGTTCTTCACATAATTGAACTCTTTATCCGTGATATACTGGAAACTTCACCTTTAATAACTGCAGCTTTATTTCGCGTTCTATGGACTTTGCTATTGTCTACACTTGACATTCATACTTTATAACATTAAATGAACACATTGTAAAATTGTATTTTATTTTATATTTTCAGCTTTTCACCATTTGTTTAGATTGGTTTGCGAAAAAATTGTCAGCACCTGATAGTCTTATTGCTTGAGCCCAATCGTGGTTATACTTAATGGTCAGGCCATTACAGTAAAAAGTCTACAACTTGCCTGTTGTGTCTCACAGATACCGCCACTCAACGTCAGTTCTACAGCTACAACCTGCCTGCAAGAACGCGTCATCCCTTGACGTACAGTAAATTGACGACAACCTGTCTACACATATCCAGACAAGGAACTGCAACGTAGTATTGTTACAACTGTTACAACAACATTACGCAACACAGCTTGTGTGTACCAGGCAGCAAACCGCCAACGTTAATCTTACTATCCGTTAGTTGATTAGGAAACATGGATTCTGATCACGCAGAACGCCAAGATGACCCCGAGCGTCAAGAAACAAAACTCCAAACAGAAGCGGAGCTGAAAATAGATGCTGGACAGCCTGTGTACAATCTGTCGAATGTAGAGGAAAATCCCGAGACTAGGCGAGTACGTGACCTCACGGAAAAAGGCCAGGGAGCATACACAGAAAAACGTGACAAGTTCAGTCAGGAACTAGAGGCTCTCTGGTCTGATATAGAATCCCAGTTATTGGAAGTCACCATGCCACCTAACGAGCTCCAGCAACTCTTAACAGCACAGGACAAACTTGTAAAAGCCTGTACTAACTATCGTAGGCTCACAGATGAATACCTGAAATTTCTGAAAAGGACCAGAACATTGGACAGTCTAAAGGACATAGACGCATGTAATCTCACGTTGGATATTCGACTGTCCAAAGTGGACCTGGCAATAGAAACATTGCACGAACATCGCATCGCCCTGACCAAGGCTAAATCTTCTAAAACAAAGACCTCAAAGAGTAAGAACACCTCGCATAGTGGGAGCTCAAACGTCTCTGACATGTCAAGCCTAGCACGGAGAAAGCGTGCCAAGGCAGAGTCCGCTAGATCAAGGATAGCCTTTGCCGAGCAACAAGCTGCCCTCCTAAAGCAGGAGGCCGTATTAGAGGAACAGATCCTATACAGACAAACAGAAATCAAGGCCAAAATAGAACAAGAAGCCATCCGTGCAAAGCAAGAGGCCACACGTAGAAAAGCCGAAGCGGAACAAGAGGCCGCACGTAGAAAAGTCGAAGCGGAACAAGAGGCCGCACGTAGAAAAGCCGAAGCGGAACAAGAGGCCACACGTAGAATTGCTGAGGCTGCTCACCTGAAAGCTCGAATTGAACAGGAGGAGGAGCACATCAAAGCTGAAAAAGAACAGGAGGCCGTTTGCAGGAAAACTCAAATGGAACAGGAAGCAGCACGTGCGGTCCCAGAAAAATCCGAACTTAAGGCTGCTATGAACATTCTCGAAGCAAAAAGAGAAGCTGCAGCCGCAGAAGCCGAGGCTTGTATCCTGGAATACAACGGCACACAAGCAGTTAGCGATCTCCCTGACGAAACGGAAGACCCTCTCCAGCGTGTGCAAGATTTCGTCAATAAACATCCTGTACCAACTACTGTAAAGGAAGTAACAGGACCTCAAAAGATAAGACAAAGTCTTGTTAAGATTGAGCTGAGTCATGAAGCACCAGCGTTCGTGCCATTCGTGGCACTGAACTTGCCATCACAAACACCTGAGGTCTTGCCTACACATGCTAAGTCACCAGAAGTTAATGTATTCCCAGATCTGGGAACAATAACTGGCATAGGAAAACAGGGCGTTTCAGAAAAGATCCCTGTCTTACAACAAAAACAAGGCGTTATAGAAGAGATCCCTGTCTTACAACAAAAACAAGGCGTAATAGAATAGAACCCTGTTGCATACCAGCAACAAATCAATCCTACGTCGGAGATAACCAGATTTCTCCTACGCAAGGACCTGTTGTTCTCTCGGCTAACAAGCTTCAACGTGCTGGCAGAATCCTTCCATACATGGAAAGCCAGCTTTAAAAACGTCGTAGACGAATTACAAGTTTCGGACTCGGAACAGATAGACTTACTGATTAAGTGGCTAGGGCCAGAGTCTGCCAAACATGCCTTGAGTATAAGGACATCAAATGCCAACAACCCAACAAGAGGCCTACAGAGGTTATCGCAGAGACTGGATGAGCGATATGGTGCTCCAGAAATGTTGGAGGCCTCTCTCACAAGCAAACTTGTCAATTTTCCTACCTTGACGAACAAAGATAGCGCACGTCTTTATGACTTGTCTGATATTCTATCAGAAATAGAATATCACAAGGAAAATCCCAAGCTGGGATGTTTGCTTGCTTATTTCGACTCTTCGTCCGGGATAAATCCTATTGTGGAAAAACTGCCATACGGACTCCAAGAAAAGTGGATAACAAGGGCTTCAAGATACAAGACTAAATATGAAGTTGCCTTTTCACCTTTCACAGAATTCTCTGCCTTCATCAGAGAAATTAGCAAAATTAAGAACGATCCTGGGTTCATTTTTGGGTCAAGAGTCACACCAAGTACAAAAGGTGCTGCGCCAAATTTCACACCTCAAACATATTCTAAAGTCAATGTTCATAAGACAGCAGTTGAACAGCAACCTGGAGACAGCAGTGAACAACAAAGTCTTTGCATTTTGCATAATACAAAGCATACCTTAAACGAATGCCGCGCGTTCCGTGCCAAATCAATCGAGGAACGCAAGAAACTGTTGAGGCAAAACAATCTTTGTTACAAATGCTGTGATTCGACTATGCACAGAAGTCGTGATTGCAACGCAAGTATCAGTTGCAATGAATGCGGAAGTAAACAACACACCACCACATTACATACAAATCGAGTGTACCAACCCAAAGGTGCACCGCCTTCACCGCATAGATCAGTCGACGGCGGGGAGCTAATTGATACAGCCTACGGCGGGGAGCAACTTGAGTTAGCTGAAACCAAGCTAACCTCTGTAAGTTCAACTTGCACAGATATCTGCAAAGATGGCAACAGTAGTAAATCTTGTGCCAAGATACTCCCTGTGAATGTCTTTCACAAAAATAATCAGGACAAAGTAATTCGCATGTATGCAATTATTGACGACCAAAGCAACCGGTCTCTCGCCGCTCCTGAATTCTTCAGCCTATTCAACGTACAGGAAGAAACAAAAGACTATATGTTATCCACATGCTCCGGCAGCAAGGTTACTTCCGGAAAACGAGGAAACGGCTTTGTCGTAAAGTCTGTACAAGACAATACTAGATTCAATCTGCCTGAACTGATTGAATGCGATACCATTCCCAATAATCGGAACGAAATTGCTACAACTGAGGATATGTTGCAATATCAACACTTGCAAGAACTACAAAAAAATATTCTCCCGATTGATGGAAAATGCAAAATCCTATTGCTCATTGGAAGAGACCTAATAGAGGCACATCACGTCCTTGATCAACGTCTAGGACCACCAAAGGTTCCATTTGCGCAAAAGTTAAACCTGGGTTGGATTATCGTTGGTGAAATACGCTCCGATAAGCAACATGTTCACCTTGAACTCACTACAAAGGAAACAAATCCAACTTGCAGTATTGTGAAACCACATACAAAGAAATTACCCGAGTGTAATAAAACCAACACCCAGTCAAATGGAATTCGAACTGATTCGTTTAAACAATATCCCCGTTTACATGGGCAACCAAAAACGAAATCAGCGACTTCGATCGTCAAATTTGCAGAAGCCGAAAAGTTCATTTCGGAAGCAACATCACCAAAAGTGAATGCCGACAAAGAAAAGTACATCCGAAAACATTCAATTCCCAAGGAAAGCTTCAATTTGCCTTTGTATACGCAAGGACAAGAGGAAAGTAGAATAGACAATTCGGACTTAAGTCACAGAGAAAAGGAACATGGCAACCGCTGGTCTACTGTATGCCGTGAACGTAAAGGAAAGCGTCCGTTTCGCAAGACGTCCTCGTTGGATCGCATATCTGTGTCGAAAGAAGATTCTTCCATCAGAACTACAGCCATGGAATTGGATCTTAGATTGCCGTGATCTCGTCGGAAACACCGCCTTGTCTAGGATAGAGGCTGTGAAATACCCAGCCTCCCGTTGCATTACTTCCAAGTTCCTATAAGTGGAACTTTGGACTGTTGTTATATATTTAACATTTTATTTGTTTTAATTATGGAATAGTGATATCAGATAGACATCAGACGGGGAGTATTCTGTTACGCCTTTCCTCAATTTATATAGTTCGTTTGATTATATTCTTAATCTGTTTATGTGTTCCAGTTTAGGAGGATTATTCATCTTTAACCTTATAAGAGCTTGTTAGAACTTTAAACATCGTATCATCGTTACCTTTCCCTTTCTTACACGTATCTCGAACTGAATATTGCAAGGTCATTCCAGAACTGGAGAAGTACAAACGTCATCTAGGACACAATTCGTGGCTAACCACAGAGTGAGTTACATTTATAACTTTGTATTTGATGCCTTCAAATCGTTCTTCACATAATTGAACTCTTTATCCGTGATATACTGGAAACTTCACCTTTAATAACTGCAGCTTTATTTCGCGTTCTATGGACTTTGCTATTGTCTACACTTGACATTCATACTTTATAACATTAAATGAACACATTGTAAAATTGTATTTTATTTTATATTTTCAGCTTTTTACCATTTGTTTAGATTGGTTTGAGAATAAATTGTCAGCACCTGATAGTCTTATTGCTTGAGCCCAATCGTGGTTATACTTAATGGTCAGGCCATTACACAAGGGAAATAACATAATAATCCTGTCTGCCACATGTACATATGTAAGAAACAATTTGTTTTTGTAAAATATTACTATAAAAAAAATAACCCACACACACAGAAGCTAACATGTTTTTTAGTTGAAACAACTTAATTGTTTATTAACAACTGCCAAACTGTACCAGAAACAGACACTGTTTTTTGAACAAACTATATCACTACGAACGACAACTCGAACTAGTATTTTACTTTTATTTGTTGAAAATATAAACAAAAATTGATTTTAAAAAAGCGGTAATATGCAGTAATTAATAAAAATCTGAATGTCGTAGTAAAAATCATCAGGAATTTGATCTGCTTTGGCGCCCGGAATTGCCGATAAGTGAACTTGTTCAAAATCATGTTTTCATGGGAAGTGATGAATTGTCCTTGCCAAAATAACTATTTATTCAGGTATTCTAACATTGCTAACATATGTTGATACCACGATAATACATTGATAATACTGTCTTTTTAAATATACCTTATTGTCAAAGAATGCAGCACTAGTGTCTTCATCGATGGCCAAAGAAAAAATGGTGATGATAAAGCATGCAATTCCGGAAATTGACCGTCTCCAAAAATATTAAATTCTAAAATTGATTTATCGGCCTTTTCGCGCCAGACGACTATTGAAAAGGCTACGATATTCTGAACAGGGAAATTATCAATCTTAATTGCGATCTCTTGGGTCGAAATGAAATTGCAAAGCAATATCTCTGAGCCTATGTACGAATTGGACAATTTATTGATTTTTCGAAGAAGTCGATAGAGGACGAAATAGCATCCTTATTTACAAACAAAGATGAAATGTTAAAAAAGTACGATCAACAAAACTTTTCTGATTCTCAAATAGGTGTGGCAAACTTCACATTTCTGAAACAGTATTCTATTTATTAAAAGTTTCGATGTAAGAAATAGCAGATATGAAGGTGATATTGTTTTATTTGTTATTAATGGCTATAAATACATAGTTATAAATCTTTTTTTAAAGTTTTTCCTCCAATTCTGCTTGAGCAGAATTATAGCTTCTTATTTGGTGATATGCTTGCACTAAGCTTTAGTTTCAAATAATAAATACGTTCAGTCATATATCAGGGTACCAGGAAGACTTCCTGTTTTTTTTTAAGATGTTAATTAATGCACAAAACTTTCGTTTCTAGTGAGGTCTTACATTGCAAAGCAGCTTTAATGTAAACATTTGAAATAATTTCATTAATTGCAATTTTATTTGTAGTTTTATTATAAAGAAGTACGCAAAATTATTATGAATTGATGTACCTGTTTATCATAGTTTTATACATTTTTGTAGTGTAGTGTGTGAAATAGATAAACTCATCATGGATACCACGATTGAAAATTATTACGCCAGAAGTGCGTTTCGTCAACAAAAGTCTGATCAGTGACGCTTACATGAAAAAAGATCAAAAGATCAAATAAGGTACGGAATTGAAGAGCAATGAGGATGTCCAACCACAAAGAAAATACTTTTTGCCATAAACATAATAAAATAGAAAATGCCATTTTATTCCATTATTGTGTGATTAATCTTTTAAAAAAAGCCAAAGGATAAAAAGGGGATTCAAACTCAAATAAATTAAAAACAATCTGACAACGCCATAGCAAACACGAAGTAATGACAAAAAAGGGTAAACAGTAAAAAAACCAAAGACAATATAAAGACTGCGCACCACGAACGACAAAAAAAAACGAGGGTGGTCTCAGTTGGTCCTTAAAGATAAGCAGATTCGGCGCCACATGTGAAACATATCGTGTTGCTCATGGAAGTTCGACTTCAACATTAGGAGGCACTATAACATTCGGTTAATATTTTGAGATTTAATCAGTAAATTTTTAAATAAAAAAGGCAGAATATATCAAGAATTAGAAGCTTCTGTAGTCACAAGTCTGAAATTAGGTAGTTGAATGCAAGTTACGAAAAATTAAAAAACTGAAGATTAAAAATAAACACGACGGGTGCCACATTTGAAGTAGATCTGCTTACCATTTCGGAGCACCTGAAATCACCCTCAGTGTTTGGTGGGGTTTGTGTTGCTACAAGTTTAGTT